AGATAAGGTAAGTATATCATCCGATTCATCTCCAGAAAATGATCAAGATTTAAAATTACCGGAAGTTGAAGTAAATACATCTACCGAAGATACTGAGGATGAAGACGATAATAAGGAATCTTTCGATGATAATAACTCTGAGAATGAGGGTTCCTTCAATAACAACGAAGATGATGGAGGGTTCTGTGGTTTTTCTGATGATGATGATGATGAAGGTTATTATTATGATTTAAATACCGGTGAAACTTATACAAAATCAGAACATCGTTATTCAATTCGCATATATTAATAATGATGTAATAAATAAAAATTCATTTCGCGGAAAAATAATTAATACTTTGCTAGTTATATATTACAGTTTTGGTCAGATACACATAAAAATAAAAAATGGCGAGCCCACTGGACCCCCTTTTTTATTTCATAAAAAATTGCTGAAACAGTATACAAATAAAAAAATATTGCAGTTACATAGTGCGAATACAAATAAAAAAATTAATTTGGGGGAGGGAAGTATACAATGAAGTATGCCCTATCAACATTATCAGGAATATAATTTTCAAGAAACCTATTTTTCGCTTCCATATAACGAATAATACCTCTAGGATTATCCGGAGAAAGTTCAATATTATTGGTAGTAATGTTAAATTGATTCTTAATTTTGACTTTAACATCTTTGACTTTGTTACCCCACTTAATTTCTATTATGTGAATAGTAGTTAGATCATTACTGAGTTTAAACTTGACATTAAAGTCATCAACCATTTTTACGTTACTAAATATAAAAACTCATAGTTGGTGGATCATCGTTCCCAAATGAAAAAAAAACAAAGGCGTATTATAGACAATATGCACATACCTTAATATTAAATTGTGAGTATATTAAGTTTTTTTTTCAAAAAAAATAAATATAAGAGCAACGCTATTGCCAACTTATCTTAAGGTGGGAACTCGCTCATTTTTATACCGTTCGATTCACCAGATCTAAAAAATACATTAGTAATTACGTTACCCAAGTCTAATACCAGTTTTTTCTCCAAAAAGCAACTCCGCTCGGTCATAACTTCCAAACGCCGGATCTATTTTATTGTTTTTTCTGGTGAAATTAACCACCTTAGATTCGACGATCACTTAA